AGGAAGTGCAAATCAAGAGATCTGAATTAAGGACATAGGCAACATAGTTTGAACATCATTGTCTTTTCCCCTGGAGTTGAAGAGTTTCAATTCTTGAAGGACCTGTGTGCTACTCTTTTAATGTCTATATATGCTGCTGTATACCTCTTCTAAAACAAATTTGGATGAATAAAACATCTACAATACATGTTTAGTAATTTTTGTATATTTTTCTTTGAATAATACAAGAGTTTTCATCATTTGATATTTATTCAAAACCCCTGGTAATGCATGCTGATTTTTTGTCTGCAAACATCTAATGGTACTATAATTTCAAATTATAGTTTCTTGAAAAATTATCAGTAGGTAAGTATGTTGCGTATGTCCTCAAGTTTGTGAATAGATAAGGAAAAAAATCTTAAGAACCACTGGGGTGTGATTAATCAATCATATCAATATGCAAGCATCATCAGACAGTGCAGATTTAAGTTTGTTCAAAGCATATGGCCCTCAAAATAGGGTGGGGCCACAATAAGGTTGTCAAACTTTTTCTGAGGAATAAAGGGGAGAAAAGAAATTTTTTCTGAAGATTAGCAGTGCCAGTGTATCTCATGTGAGCATGGTAACCCATAGGCCTCTTGACTTTGCTTGCCCAATGTTTCTTGAGAAGACTTTTTTTTTAAATTGAGCCACCAAGTTTGATTTTTTTACTATTTCTAAATTACCTCCCCTTTTTCATTTGAAGAAACTTGAACCCCCTTCACTCAAGGATGCTCTGTGGCTAGTTTGGTTTGGAATTGGCCCAGTAGTAGTGGAGAAGAAGTGGAAAATGCAAAAAAAAAATTAAAATAGACAATAGACAGATTTACTGCAATCATAAACATAGGTAATCAGAGATAACAGAGCTCACCTCAATGAATGTTGTCTTTAAGTAAGGCAAAGTCCCACACTAAACTAATAATCTAGGAGTGTGCATCCCTAGATGCAACATTTATGCAATTTTGGTCTGATAGGGCTTGCAATTACTTGGGAATAGACTTATCTGAAAACTTTAAAAAAAGTCACTCATCCAGAAAATGTAAGTCAAATCCAGCATCCAAAGCAAGTTTGAGATTGTTCGTCCCTTGATGCATCATCCATGCAAGTTTGGTTCAGATAGGCCTTATAGTTATAGGAAATGAGATCTGCTCCAAAAACTTTAACCTGGTTACTCATCCGGAAAATGTAGGTCAGATCCAGCATCCGAAGCAAGTCCAGTAGTGTGAATCCTTAGATGTATCATCCATGCAAGTTTGGTCAACATAGGGTTTATAGTTACTTGGAAATGACATCTGCTCCAAAAACTTTAACCTGGTCACTCATCCAGAAAATTTAGGTCAGATCCAGCATCCGAAGCAAGTCCAGTAGTGTGCATCCTTGGATGTATCATCCATGCAAGTTTAGTCAATATATGGCTTATAGTTACTTGAAAATGAGATCTGCTCCAAAAACTTTAACCTGGTTACTCATCCGGAAAATATAGGTCAAATCCAGCATCCGAAGCAAGTCCAGTAGTGTACATTCTTAGATGTATCATCCATGCAAGTTTGGTTAATATAAGGTTTATAGATAAATGGAAATGACATCTGCTCCAAAAACTTTAACCTGGTCACTCATCCGGAAAATATAGGTCAGATTCAGCATCTGAAGCAAGTTCAGTAGTGTGCATCCTTAGATGTATCATCCATGCAAGTTTGGTCAATATAGGGCTTAAAGTTACTTGAAAATGAGACCTGCTCCAAAAACTTTAACCTGTTTCAAAAACTTTAACCTGCTCAAAAAACATTAACCTGGTCATTCTTTAGCTGAAATTGCAGCATCTGAAACCTTGACTGGTACAGTGAAACACACTAGAGGCATCCTACATGCATCTCTGACTAATATAGGCCACAGAAGTACTTGAAAAGAAAACTGCTCCAAAAACCTTGACCTGGGACGCCCACGCCGACACCGACGCCTACGCCGATACCGAGGGTATTACATAAGCTCCCCCAACTTCATTGAGGTGAGCTAAAAATTGCTCACTTGAGCCAATCAAGTGAAAAATTTGAAGAATACAATTCTCACTTTCATGTTTGTGCCTTGAAACTAAGAAATAATAGAAGTTGTTGTTTTAAAGTCATCATTTTCCAAACAATTAGACCTGGCACTTAAAATCTGTAAGATGGTGCTCAGAGTATTTTGGGAAAGATAAAAATCCTCAAATGAGAATACATGTTACTGTATATTGACAATAAAGTCCACAAGTAAAATCAGGATAACTACTTGATGCAACATTGAATACCTGGCAGAGACAGTGATTAAAGTGAAAACAGTTGCAATGACAGCCAGACTGGTGGGGCTTGATGTGCAGCCTTCAATTTGGCAGCCTTTATAGCATCTAATATACATTACTTCATACCATTCAGTTCGTTAAACCCATGACCCTAGATCACCACCAAATCACTGTCCGACTTCCTTCAACATAGATTCGTCAGACATTTAATACCAAGTCACCAGTTCCCTCTACGGGTCTACAAATACAGGACTTCTCTGGACTTTGTCTACACCGAAATTTTGGATACACATGGAAGCTTGCAGCTGTTGAGAATTTAGACCTTATCCTTTTATTTTCATGTAACTATAGTCTCCAGTCAATATAGTGCTCCACCAGAACAAATTACAACAAAAATGATTTCTTCACTAGAAGTCTCTAACATCCTCCCATTATATCATATCAAAACATAAGAAATTCTAATCAGGCAAGAGTTGTTAATTTTGCAAAATATTTTTAATTTTATTTACTTTGATTGAGATGACATGCCAAGCTGCCATAGTCACAATGACGCTGTAAACAAGCACCAAAAATTGATTGCAAGTGCTTTTACAATCAGAACATGTATTACACAATACATATTCCCTCAAGATATTCCCAAAATACAACACAAATACACATATGTATAAATACAGTTGAACTTCAGTATCTCAAACACAGATATCTCGAATACCATTTATATGTCGAAGTGATTGGGAAGTCCTAACCATGTATTTCTTAAGTATTTTACCCTAGATATCTCAAACCCTTGGATATCTCGAAGTTTTTTCTTGCTCCCATCAAGTTCGAGATAACAAGGTTTGACTGTAGTTACAAATTCAGCCAGTGACCAAACTTTATACATATGGGAAGCTGTTCCAATCCTTACCGTATTGTATACAGCATGAGATATATTTAAGAAAAAAGGCATCACTTTTAAACATCTATCGGGATATAAATACGGTTGGTCACGAGATCAATTTCCATAAAGCCCAAAGGGCTTTATGGTAAATTTGATCTCGTACCAACCCGTACTTATATCCCAATAGATGTTTTAAAATGATACCTTATTACTTATATTTACAATTGAGGACTTATTCATATTTTATATTTGCCTGATTATTATCTTTAACACATGAAATGTTTTATTTTTCAAACTCAACGGCATGAGTTTGATCAATTGATTCCGCGTCGACCCTTTATGTCCAACAATTATGACATGAGGTACTCGTGTTTATACAGATATAGATATGCATTGCTTTCAATAGTGATATATAAAAGAAAACATTTGCAAATGTGAATATTTGATAAGGCCAATAAAATAATAGTCTTGTTTACTGCAACCTGACAGACCCTATTTTTTTGCATCCGACCCTAAAGACTTTTTTAGTTTTGAAAAAAAAAAAAAAAAAATTCAGGAATTTTATCGTTCTGTCACCGTAATCGGTTTCCATGTTAACACAAAACAAGCATTTCATGAAATTCTTTGTTATAAAATATGAACTGTCATAAAGCACCACTTGAGTCGTGCATCAAGACATAAAATTGAATTTTAAAAGACATAATTCACCTGTGACATGTCACTGTAAAAAAAATTGACCTGTGACATGTTTAATTTGATCTTGTATTAGTTCATATCCAAAAAATGCTGTCGCAAAAAAAATAAATAAAATAAAATAATTTCCCTACCTACTTACGTATTTTTTTCAGGCTGGTAGCAGGAAATAAGACTATTATTTGTTTTGGCCTAATAACACAACAGGAATGCAATATTAACCATGTGAAAAAATTTAAATGCCTGCATCATGATTTTGATAAATAAGGTTAAATTTGCACTACAAAATCAAAGAATTCTGTTTCAATACATTAAAGGATCAACGCAACAATTTTTGCTAAGATTATACATATTAAACAATTTATTAGTTTTCATAACCAAATTATACATTTTGAAAATAATTCGAAATATTTCACTTCCATGTTTCCTTTAAATTGATATTTCAAGTCATGCAACATGGAGAGTATCTGTCAGGAAGCTGTCAAATATTGTAAAACAATGACATCCTAACATCCAGATACAAGAAGACCCTGTATTCTTAGTAAAGCATTTGGTAACTACTTGCATTTTACATACAATCAAGAAGGTTTTAACGGTGATAATAGCACATTATTTTAATCATTTATGTAATTTGTAAGGCCCATCTCGACAAATGTCCAACTAAAGTACACATATGAATCAAATAATCTCACAGCATTTCACTTAATATATAATGATCAGATCACCTATCTTTTCACATTCGATATACCCCAGTATGCAGCCATTGTAGTGGCTGTGAATAAGTCTTCACATCATCTTTTGTATGTGATTCCAATATTTCATAAATTTCTGCAACCCCTTTATACAAGCATTAAATTATGTAACATATCGTAAAGTTGAGTCCTTTTTTCATCTTTTTTTTCCTGATGATACATTCTATTTGCAGTAATAGTTTCTTGCAAAATATGTTTTATTTTTTATTTTTTATTAATATCATCTATTTAATCATCAAAAATAGATGCATTTATTTTATGCGAAAGGAAGTCGGGTTTGATGAATGATGTACAGAGATTCCATAATTAACATCGGGTTCGGGCTCCCTTTTAAATCTGGTTGCTGAATGGTGAACAGATGCAAATCTATCAAGAGCATAAATTGGTAAAAATACAACTAACTGACTGGTAAAAAATTGTTATTGCCCACCTACCCACCCCATTCTGTTAGGTGTAGGCCAATAAATGTATTTGAAGTTTTTGATGTTAAAAATTTTTGCAACTTCTGAAGTTCATTTGAGATAAAAATACGTTAGTAGTTTAGAATTTATTTTGTTTAGGCAATAGATACTGCTCTGTTGATTTAATCTGTAGGAAGATTGTCATAGCCTTATTGATGTGGATGAACTGGTACAATCAAGACAATGTCCGAGAGGCAATGGCAACAAGGAATCCTAATGAGGAAAAGATCCATTCCTGAGCATCGTGACGTATGCGCACACTAAAGTCAACTGATATTTAAACTAAGTATTACTAATGTGAAATAAGTTGAATAATAGGTAACACTGAGTCAAAATTTTGTGCTGATGGGAACTGCATTGTTTGTAACTGGGTTTGATAACTTTTATAACTGCATTTTGTATTGAAATGATTATTGTAGGTTGTGTACGTAGTAAAGATTAAGTAACTGTCTGCAGATTACCCGGGATGGTCCATTTTATATAATTGCTGAATTTGATTGATGATTGACTGATTTGTTGTTGATGCTCAAGTGGGTGTGCCAATGTTGTGTTGATTTGTTTGGCGACCCACGAATATTGCCACGACAATATTAGCCACATACAAATAAATAATTGTTAACTTTTAGTGTTGTTGCATTTTCTCTATATAAATAATATACGAGGGTTGTTAGAAAAGTTTGTGGACACATTGATTTACGGAAAATCTATTGTCTACTGTGAAGTATAACTCATGTCTGATTAAATTCCAATCTTTTGTTAATTAGTATGTAAAAAAAATCAGGTCCATTTATTAAATTTTTAAAATTTACAACGATTTTTACTATGCGGTCATAGGATTCACTGAGCAATCACTTGACGTTTAGTGACGTGACAACCAGATTTCAAACCCATTAAGCTTTCTCATAGTTCTAAATATTTTTCATTTCTTTCGACTTTTCTTGTTTTTTTTTTTCTACTTAAAAATTAAATATCTATATAAAGACATGTTACTTTTCTTCTATAATGTCTTTTGTGCTGTTTCGGATATAAGTGAGATCTTAAAATAAATGTCTACGCAGTTAAGAGATCAGGTATGGAAACAATGCAAATTCCATAGGCCCAACATCCATGCGATAAATGGGGTATTGAGGCATCAATGGAGTTGCTCATACAGTTGCATATCAAACCTTTCAACAGCTTTCAAAACCTGCACAGGCAAATTGCACACGCCCCTCAGATTTCAGGGAACTAAATAAAGGAGATTGTACTAGACATCTGAGTAATACTTGCAGTTTTATTAATACCAGTGCTCCAAGTCACACTTACTATCAAGTCGCTAAATGGCGACCAAAAATTTTTTGGTCACCATTTCAGAATTTCTGGTTGCCATCAACAGATATTTCACTCGCCATGGGGAAAACATTTAGTGAATAAAACATTTAGTATATTATAAAAGGAAGGAACAAACACTCATATATGAATATGTACATGTGATGTCTTTTTTAAATGAAACAGTGAGAGCTCACATACCCCATGCTCCCCCTAAACTTGACAATTCAATGCATAATGAATGGCAGTGCACTTTAAATACACAGTATAATTCAGAAAGTGGCTTTACTTGCTAAAAATCATCAAATCAAAACTTCAAATTCGAAACATATAAGGACATTCAAATCTTTGTATATTAAATTTAATTGGGATGAAGTTTCTAAATAAATAATGGAATCAATATTTCTTGTTAATATACAAAGCTACGTAGACATTATGTCTGAAATACATACAAAGTTTCAGGAAATTCAGTGCAGGAGTTATGCTGATAAACTGTTATTTAAATTCCTCATCGATTTTGATTTGTTAATGAGTGTAAGTCCATGTCCAACATATGACAATTTACACATGAAGCACGGAGATAACAAACAGTACTCGAGCTCAAAAGTCCATTCAAACAATACAAATCAAGAGCAGAGCAAACATGGACCTCTAAAACATCAGAGGTGGGATCAGGTGCCATGGAGGAGTGAGCATCCCCTGCCGACCGGTCACACCCGCCGTGTGCTCCTTGTCATGATCTGTGGTAAATAACGGAAAAATCTGTTGACAATTCAGTGTGTAAATAATGGCCTAACAATTAGTATGAAAAACGTCAGTCAGCATGACTTAATGATAGACTGTATTTGCTGACAAGGTCATTGTATCGACCATAGAACTTATGAAATGATAACTTTAAATGAGACTGTTGATGTTCTTGTTTCATCAACTTGTTTGTCAATAACTTACCTCATTTTAGAAATTGTTCATACGTAGAGCATGCTCTTGTGTATTGAGTCAACTTAGAGATATACATCCCATATGCAGGTGATAAGGGTATGCTGCATAAGTAAGGGAAGTTGACGATTGAAAAGTTAAAGTCATCACGTTTATTATAAAGCTTTGTTGTCATATAAATAATTGATGGAAACAAATTATGATGAAGTCATATAAATTTGTTTATATACTGTTCTTATGAAATTATTTAAGGCAAAGCACTAATTGGAGGGAGAACTTTTTGTGTACTTCTATCCAAGATTTTTTTTGTTTGTATGTTGAATGATTTATATTTTGATCTCAAAATCAATAGGGGTCTTTTAAGGTCATAAAGTATTTCACATAAAATATCATACCAAATTGATACCAGTGGATTTCCTTATTATCTAACTGGAAAGTTTTTTCAGTAACAGCCAAAACTCTAAGGGCAAAAATAATGGAATCGGAATTTCTGTGCAATATGCACATCTATACACTGTGTCCTGAATATCTACAAAGTTTGACGAAATTCTGTGCAGCAGTTTAAGAGGAGTTGTGCTGACAAACTGTTTATCTCTATATTCAAGATATGGCAAAAAAATCTAAGTTGAAAAGTGCCCAAATTCCCAGAAAAATAATGGAATCGGAATTTCCTGGCACATCTATACACTGTGTCCTAAATATCTGCAAAGTTTGACAAAATTCTGTGCAGCAGTTTCAGAGGAGTTGTGCTGACAAACTGTTCATCTCTTTTTTTCAAGATATGGCCAAAAATCCAAGTTGAAAGTGCTGAAATTCCCAGAAAAATAATGGAATCACAATTTCATACAAACATGCACTGACTATATATTCAGACGGTGAAAAAATGAAATATGAAGATAACGAACAGTATTCAATCTCGAAAGTCCAATGAAATGATACAAATTTGGAGCAGAGCAAATACGGTCCTCAAAATTTAGAGGTGGGATCAGGTGCCATGGAGGAATGAGCATCCCCTGCAAACCGGTCACACCCACCATGTGCTCCTTGTCATGATTGGCAAACAAAAACTGGAAAAATCTGTAGACTTTTCAGCGTATAAATAATGGCCTAACAATTAGTATGAAAAACGTCAGTCAGCAATTGACTCAATGATAGGTTGTATGTGCCGACAAGGTCATTAACTTGCGAAAAGATTACTTCAAACGAGACTGTTCAAAGGCGTGACCCTGATTATCTATTGATATTCAAGAAATCCTCAGCCCAATGTCTTCAAAATTTATTTATTTTTACTCAAAAAGAGTTTTAAATTCATATTCTGTAGCAAGAATACACACTTAAGATATCGGTTATTTATATTATGGAAAGAAATAAACATTTTATAAAACTTCAATTTAAGAGATTTTTCAGGACACTTAAGTCCACCCGTTCTTTAAAACAGATTTTTTTGTGCGATGGAAGTTATTATCATTAACCATTTTCAATTCAAAGTTCTTTTCAATGACCTTTAAATATGACTCAACTTGGAGGAAGCTGTTGGAAATCATCACATACATGACAGTAGCCCCTCTTCAAAAGTCATAAAAAATTTCAATGTCGTAATAATTTTACTATAGAGGTATTAAAATGTTAACTTCAAGGTATTTCTTATAGTGTTGGTAGATCTTTTCTAAATAGATGCTAAATCAAGCATTTTTAGTTGGACTTGGTGCAGTTTTGGTAGTTTCTCTTTCTTTTTTTTTTTTTTTTTTGGCTACGGGCCTGACTTCCATGCAACCTACATATTGGAAAGCATCTGTTGACCATCCAAGTTTTCACCTGCTATGCAGGATCCTAATATCTGAATAATTTTCTAGCATAAGTGCTCCCATGTGAGTAACTCTTTATAGCCACAAAAAAAATTTTTGAAAATGTCATTGAAATACAAACTCTAACTCATGCTTATGTTTGCGAACTAGATAACACACGGAAAGAAATAATCAACGCTCCACAATTTTGTGTTTTCTTTGTATGAAATAATAGAAGTAATTTGAACTGACATCATTCTACCTGCACTATATGTTATGAATATTGATGAGCTAGCCACCAATGAGAATATAAGTCATCCTTTGAGAGATAACGTCGAGAATGCCACACCTTACTAAAAGTCCAAGGATAACAGAGAATTGAACATTAATTTTCACAATTTTATGATTTTTTAAGAAACTTTTTGCCCAAAACAGGGGTTATGCCTGATTATTTTTTCCTTTACTTGAAATATTTAGATTAAGACACATGTCATATGTCATTCTGGTAAGAAAAAAAAACTTTGTTGCAATTTGTCCTGGATATGCCATTTTGTGTCCACATTGACTGAACTACTATATGATGACTTCATGAGTCCAAAATTTTGCAAAGAACCAAAGCTTTCCTGATTTAATTGGTTGCTATTCATATCACAATTATTGGCTACACAAACCTTTTATTTCCCTTTATATCTTAATTTACTTAAATCGTGTAATGTTAATTCAGTCATTTAACATTAATTAACTATTTTTATAAATGAGGATGATGGAATTTTATTTCATGTCTATCAATTATCAATATCGTGACAACAAAAGTTGTAAAATATACATCATTGGTAGGGCACTTATATACCAGATGGATTTAAATGTTACATTGCATAAAAGTACTTTTAAAAAGGTTCAAGCTGAACCAATATCAAACATAGAAACAGAAAGATTACAGAACTCACCTCAACAAATGTTTTCTTTAAATAAAGCAAAGTCTCACCCAAACAAATGTTCTGATAGCGTGCATCCATAGATGCCACATCAAGCAAGTATGGTCTGGGTAGCATTTTTAGGTATTTAGGGTGGACTTGCTCTATAACATTTTAATTCCCACTAAATTTAGTGTAGAGGATTGATATTATCCTGATAATATATAGATATGTTTTTTTCTTTGATCGGCATAATGTGTAGTACGTCCCCATTGTATTGCAAATTACCTGTGCACATGCAAACTTTAAAGTTTTCTGCTAAACAATTTACAGTAACTTTCTTTTTGAATACCATTAGCTTTACACTAACTCAGTTTGGATGACTTTAAGTATTGCATTAATAATGGTATAAATTATTTTTGTATTAAGTATCGTGTTTGTTATGTTGTATAAGTTTGTTCTAGAATATATACAAACCATAAACATTACATGTAGACGTAATCATATCGAATTCAGATTTATAATAATCTTGGTTCATACAAGATTTACCTGCTTTCTTTTATTTTACTTGGTTCGTATGGACTATTCAGAGAATAAAACAGGAAGAAATGCGACGTCACCTTTGTGACATAACTGACGTCATACTCAGGTGTGCACAAAAAGAAACCTAGGATTGTCGAA